AGAGAGAGAGAGAGAGAGAGAGAGAGAGAGAGAGAGAGAGAGAGAGAGAATGGATCAATACGGAAGCTGTAGGCGAACCTAACATAGAAGGGAAACAAGTATACCCAAAACTTTCGCGTTGTTATTACCATTATATGAACAATTCATTTATCATTAATTTATCCAGTCCCCTCATAAAACAAAAGCTGATTATGGCCCGGTTGCACCAAGCCCTGTTCTCCAAATAAACTCCAAGGTAAAATTTATCCTCACGGTCAATTATATCGTAGAGTTTATCATTTTCCAATTTGATCCGAAGAATAATCTTTTACTTATCTCGTAGCCCCATTTGATTTAACACTGATTTAACCTTGGGATTAAATTTTATTTTTTGTTCCTGGAATAAATTTGAGATATTCTCCCGGGTAAAATAATCCATCGAACATCCAAATTCATTTTTTTGTCATATTTGACGTTTTCGATACCCGGACCTGGTGGAACCGGGGTTATCCCTTCTTCCTTTAAAAAAATATCTCCATAATGAGCATGTCAGGAGGAAATGTTAGAAAACACTGTCTCGTAAATTTTATGAGCTACAAAACTTTCTACATTTTCCACACAATTCACTCGATTCCGAGATAATAACAAAACTATCAAAAGACAAATGTCGAATTGGCGTTTGCTTTTTATCCTTGTACTGCCAATTGTACTCATTAACTTGTGTTCATGTCAATTAACTTACCTTGTACATCGGTGTACCCCAAAAATCATTATAGAATACATTTCTCAATGGTGTATGGGGTCGCAAATCACGATTATCCTTGATGGCTGATATATCATCGAACACGAAACCACAACCTAGGCTATTTGTGTAAACGGCGAACGCGGCTATTGCCACGAATCCGGCTAATACTCCTCGGGCAGGTAGTCCCATCACGAATAAACTTGCATGACTTTTTTATTCACTTTTCTCACGTGGTTTGGTGAATTTTTCTATACAGGTGTTTACCACAGCTCAGGGTTTTCCATTCAGTTATTGATGTATTCTTTGTTTCTTCGTTGCAATCAATTACGAGGATCGACTATTGTCATCGTACGGCTTTCACGATTTTTGAGATTTTCCATCACAACCTTCGGCTTTTCGGGAGAATTTTAAAGTTGTTGACGCAGGGGTTTCGTACTATCACGCAGAAGGGGGGCATAGTATTTGGGAGATCTGCTCCTATGGTTTTTTCGTTGTTCTCAAAGGAATGTAATTTTTAATTACCGTGCTCGGCTGTTGATGAAAGACGCGTGAGGTACACTCCTATAATCGTGAAGTATCTACGAGCTGATAGATAAACCATGGAGAATAAAGGCAAGGAGGCGGAACCATAGACCTATTATGCCTTGACTGCGCATGTGGAGGGGGAAGCTGCATAAATTTAGCTAGAGAGATACTCCCGGTCCCTACCTATCCTTGTTTGGCAGTGCTGTGAGTGGGGAGCACACCGAGGAGGGACTACTAAAGACGCGCAGCCTTATGGGCTTTTCTGTCCGGAGAATTGTTGGGTGATGTTGGGTGAAGGTTTGCAGTTTACTGTCCTACCATTTGAGTTTCCGAAAAGAACAGTCGGTAACTGTTTCTGGTGGCTCGACGCTACCGATGGTTATTTGGAACTCCGGAATGGCAGTTTGTTCTCGTCTTGGAAATTTTGGCTCTCATTTACAAGTTCATACTCAAATATAATTATGGGCAAATTGGAAGGTTAAAAGATATGGAAGTTTAGTAACGAATGAAATGATAAAACATGAGCATGAATATTATGAAGAATGATGAAATTAAATCAATCTGCAATGTCCGTATCAATACTTTGGTTTTCGTATTAATACTTTTGTCATTTTTTCAACAAGGCATCATTGTAGCAGAACAGTATATTTTTGAATAATAGTGCACTATGCCCCTGTAGAGAAGCGATTATCGTGCTATAGTTCTATGTTTCAGATTTCAATATTTCGATTTCGATATGTGCTTCATCAATTTTGGCTCAATTAATTATTCTCAACAATTTTAAACATATTATTCATGAAAAATGATTTACTACAATAGATATGGGTGATACGAAGAAAATTTTCAGGGTAAGAATTTTTAGTCTTATCCATGGAGAATAGAGGAAAGGAGGCTCAACTCGGCGGAGTGGGGGTAGCTTTCTGGGCTGAAATCTTGTCAAAACGCAGGAGCTTCCATGAAGCTCGCTTAGCGGCGTTCTCGTCGATTTTGTCAGTAAAATGTTCTCAGCGTTCTCATAATAATATGCTGCCCTCTGCAGTAAGCCGTTCAATTTTTGAGTTTTTAGAGAACATCCCTATGTGCGGATTGGAATATAGTCCAGTCAAATAGCAACTTTTTTTGGGCTAAAAAAACAATAGAAATAGGAAAAAATATNCATGGAGAATAGAGGAAAGGAGGCTCAACTCGGCGGAGTGGGGGTAGCTTTCTGGGCTGAAATCTTGTCAAAACGCAGGAGCTTCCATGAAGCCCGCTTAGCGGCGTTCTCGTCGATTTTGTCGGTAAAATGTTCTCAGCGTTCTCATAATAATATGCTGCCCTCTGCAGTAAGCCGTTCAATTTTTGAGTTTTTAGAGAACATCCCTATGTGCGGATTGGAATATAGTCCAGTCAAATGGCAACTTTTTTTGGGCTAAAAAAACAATAGAAATAGGAAAAAATATTCATTTGGCGGGGCATAACATCAATAATGACATACTAAATTTTCGGGACTTTATCTCTAGGGGGAGTTGTTAAAAAAAAAATAAGTGATCAAACAGGAGCAGTGCGACCTTTCTCGTCTTACCTTGTCAAATCCGTTGCAGATACAATAAAAATGCATCGGACTAAATTTGTAGAGAATGAAATTTCCTACAAAAAACTCCGCAGCGGCATTGTTCCATCGTCAATAGTTCAACCACCATTTACGCCCGAAATTTTTACAATAACAAATCATAAACAAAAAAAATCCCTCTCATCGGCTCTCCCATGTAGAAAAATGATTTTTTTCACATAACGGACTTTGTTATTTATGAAGTCCATATCAGGGGAAATTGTAATATTTTTTGTAAATTCCTAATGTTCTTGTTTATGGGGTATTTTCAATAAACAAACACTAATTTATTTTCTCCATCATTTTTCAATACATAATGTGAATTTTGTATGAATTTTTTCAAAATTCTTTTTCTCTTGCGTTTTTATTAAATTGCCAATATTGCTAAAGTTATAAATTTTTGGAGTTTTCTCATAAAATAGGCCTGCGCGGACTCCCCCGCCACCGACGCGCATGCCACCCACTCTCCGCGCGTCCCTTGCCGACAAATCCCTGTAACTTCAAAAATTTATAACTCGAGTAAT